GCGCCGGACTCCTCCAGCCGCAGGAACCTGACGGAGCTGCGCGGGGAAGCCCAGCTGGCTGTGTTCCAGCAGGGCGACACGGGCAGTGTGGAAGGAGCTCCCCAGCCCACCGAGAACAGCTTCACCCCCAAGTGTGAAATCACGGGCAAAGACGCCCTGTCGGCGCTGGCGCGGGCCAGCAGCAAGCAGTGCCAACAGGAGATCGCCAACGTGGTGTGTCTGCACCGTGCCGCAGCCTCATGCCCCAGTCTGTGCCTCGCCACTGCCAGCTCTCGGGTGAGTCCTTGCTGGGGTGCTCCCGGTTACCCCGGGCATCAGGGATGTCCAGCCAGGCGCGTGGGACACCTTCCTTACGTCACCACACGGTGCCACCTGGCAAACAGCGGCCTCAATCTGTCTGTGATTCCCAGATTACCGCTGCCTCTCTAATCCAATCAAAGCTGTGCCAGCATCCTTAAGCTGGGCTGTTCATCCCAACCTGCAGTCCCTGCAGAGGTCAGAGCCTGCTGAATCTTGTTTTGCGGGGGGACAGACCCCCCTGCCCTTTCACAGCACATCCCTGTCAATTATCATAGAATCACGGAATGGTTTGGGTTGGAAAGGACCTTAAGATCATCCAGTTCCAACCCTCCGCCATGAGCAGGGACACCTCACACTAGACCATGTTGTCCAACCTGGCCTTGAACACTGCCAGGTACAGAGCATTTACCACTTCTTTGGGCAACGTTCCAGTGCCTCACAACCCTCACAGGGAAGAACTTCTTCCTTATATCTAGCCTGAACTTCCCCTGTTTAAGTTTGAACCCATTCTTGTCCTATTGCAACAGTCCCTGATGAAGAGTCCCTCTCCAGCATCCTTGTAGGTTCCCTTCAGATATTGGAAGGCTGCTCTGAGGTCTCCATTCAGCCAAGGGGCTGCATGTGCCACCGTGCCCTGGCACTGCAGCCAGTTTGGGCTGCACTGGTGGGGTCTGCCCAAGGCCAAGCTCTTCCCCGCTGTCTCCCACCTTGCTTATGTCTCCCTGGTTTATCAGGAGCTGGGGATGGTGGGTGCCAAGGCTGAAGCTCTCTCCCTCCCCACACAGGCAAGGTCAGCCCTGTCATCCAGTGGGACGAGAGCCGGCTGCAGCAGCTGCCCCCCAGCAAGCCTGTGCGCATTGCCTACATGCTGGTTGTGCACGGCAGGGCCATTCGCCAGCTGAAGCGGCTCATCAAGGCTGTGTACCACCAGCAGCACTTCTTCTACATCCATGTCGACAAGGTATGTGGCAGGGGTGAGGGCAGGGTGGGTGCTAACTGTGCCTGGATCGGTCACTGGGGCATGAGTGGATGGCGAGTGGAGGAAGTGGCTGAGTAGGGTTTGTCCTCAGTGCAGCCTCTATTTCTGCAACCCCAGGGAAGCAGGATCTATCCCCCCTGCCCAGAGCAGTCTTGTCTCGCTGCTCCCCTCTGCAGAGGCTGCTGTAGGGGCTGACCCAGGGCTGGCAAGACCATGGGGAGATGAGCTCCCTGCTGAGCATGATCCATGTTCCCTGACAGCGCTCCAACTACCTCCATCGCGAGGCGGTAGAGCTGGCCCGGCACTACCCCAACATCCGTGTGACACCCTGGCGCATGGTGACCATCTGGGGAGGTGCCAGCCTGCTCAAGATGTACCTGCGGAGCATGAAGGACCTGCTGGAACTGCCCGAGTGGCCCTGGGACTTCTTCATCAACCTGAGCGCCACTGACTACCCCACGAGGTGAGGACCTTGCTGGGGCAGGGGAGGGTGATGGAGGTGTTTGGGCTGCATGGTGCCTCGGGAGGCACAGGGAGGTGAGGGAAGATGGGGTTGGAGATTGCACCCATGTGCTGGTGATGATGCTCCAGGGCAAGGTTGGTCCCATCTCTGTGGAGGAGCCCAGCCTTGGAGGCTGTTTTTTCCTGTGAGCTGGGTGTAGCAGGGGAACACGCATGTGAGGCGCCAGACAGCAGAGACACCTCTGTGTCTCCCCAGTGACAGGACAAGGGTTTGAGTCAACACTCACCGAGCAGCTGTAGGCTTCTTGTGTCTGATGGCTCTTGCAGTGTGAATGGTTACCAGTCTGCTTTACTCCATTAGCCATTAATGTTTTCTGATTTGCACTTTAGGACCAATGAGGAGCTGGTGATGTTCCTGTCCAAATACAGAGATAAAAACTTCCTCAAGTCTCATGGCCGAGACAACGCCAGGTAATCCCAGCTAGGGGAAGAGCTAAGCTGAGGAACAGAGAAAGAGGGATTTGGGAAAAGAACTGAAACAAGTGGGACGGGGTGGTGGGGGATGTTCCTGATGTAGCTGCACAGCTGGTGACACTCTAAACGCCTCATCCTCACCCCCGTGCCCAGGTTTATCAAGAAGCAAGGCCTGGACCGCTTGTTCCACGAGTGTGACTCCCACATGTGGCGGTTGGGCGAGCGCCACATCCCCGAGGGCATCGTGGTGGACGGGGGCTCCGACTGGTTCTCGCTGACACGCAGCTTCGTGGAGTACGTGGTCTATGCCGAGGACCAGCTCGTGTCCCAGCTGCGCCAGTTCTACACCTACACGCTCCTGCCAGCAGAGGTGGGTGCTGGCTGCGGGCCACGGCGTGGGTTTGCTTCCCATTGTACTTAACATCTCTGTCCCGCTTCATCCCCGCACTGGGTGGCTGCGAAGGGTGTTGGTTCTGCTCAGCTTTGTGCCTCCCCTTTGCCCAGGCAGAGAGGGGAGAGAGGAGCAGACAGGCCAAGGCTCATGTTTATACCCAGTTCAGACACCCTTCTGGGCCTGATAAGGACCAGGGTGGGCGCACAGCTTATGTGTTACCCTGTGATGGGAACAGGAATAGGTTTCTCTTCAGGAGTTATCAAATTCTGTCTTACTCCTCTGTGAGTGATGGGGGGTGTCTCTGCTAACCCCCCTGCTCCATCCCCACTGGGTGTCCTGTCCCTTCTCTTCCGTGCACAGTCCTTCTTCCACACGGTCCTGGAGAACAGTCACGCCTGTGAGACACTGGTCGATAACAACCTCCGAGTGACCAACTGGAACCGGAAGCTGGGCTGTAAGTGCCAATATAAACACATAGTCGACTGGTGCGGGTGCTCCCCAAATGACTTCAAACCCCAGGACTTCCTCCGGCTACAGGTGAAAAAGATCCTCCTTTCTCCTGCTCTCTCCCCTCCTCCCTGTGTCTGTCCTCTGAGCTCCCCTGTGGGTGCACCCTTGGGTGCAATGGCAACTGCTGTGCATGTCTCCACGAGCCTCACCCCAGCCCCACAAGGGACAGGGGCAGGATTGCCCCCCCCGCCACTGTGGGGCTCAGCATAGACCCGTCTGAACGTCCAGGCAGTGGGATTACACTGATTGTCTTGCCCAGCATCCAGGCTTTTCCTTGCAATGCTCCTCCTCTTCCCAGGCTTTCCCATTTTCCTGCTTTTTCCTTGCAGACTATCACTTGGGATGAATACCTTTCCAGTAAAAGCACTTCAGAGCACCGCCTTTTTTGCCAGGACAAAATGCCTTGTGACAAACTGTCTCCCGTGCTCTCAGTGTGTAGGGATGTAGACTGAGGTTTGTGGGAGATACACCCAGCCCTGAAATGATGAGTCAGCAGGATTGTCCAGCAGTCCTGGTCTCCATAGTGCAGGGCCCTGATCCTGGAAGCTCTGCCACGTGGCCAGGCCTCGTGCCGGGCTCCACAGCAACTCTGCAAGGTGGGGGCCCATCTGAGTAGAGATTGTGGTGAAGAGCTGAGATGACACATGGCTGCTTCTGAGCACGGAAAGCGGGAGGCAGTGGGAGAGATGGGAACTCATCTGCATTACCAGTACTGTGTGCTCCCACTGATCCTGTCATAGCGGATTGCACACAGGGGCTGGCTGTGCTTTGCTGCTCCTCAGGCTGTGCCCTCAAAGGGGGCAGGATGGGTCCCAGCATGTTTCTTCCTGGTCTGTCTGCTTTCCAGCTGCCCTGCTCAGGTGGGTGCAGCCAACTTTGTTAGGAATTGTGGAATAATAGAATGTTTTGGGTTGGAAGGGACCTTAAAGCTCATCCAGTTCCAACCTCCTGCTGTGGGCAGGGGCACCTTCCACTAGAGCAGGTTGCTCCAACCTGGCCTTGAACACTGCCAGCGATGGGGCAGCCACAGCTTCTCTGGGCACCCTGTGCCAGCACCTCAGCACCCTCAGAGTGAATTTTTTCCCAGTGTCTAATCCAAACCTCTGCTCTTCCAGCAACTCTCCAGACCCACCTTCTTCGCCCGCAAGTTTGAGTCGACGGTGAATCAGGAGGTGCTGGAGATCCTGGACACGCACCTCTACGGCAGCTACCCCCCCAACACACCGGCCCTGAAGGCGTACTGGGAGAATGTCTATGACCGTGTCGATGGGCTCAGTGGCCTCAGCGATGTCACTCTCACCTTCTACACGGCCTTCTCCAGGCTGGGGCTCCACAAAGCTGCATCCACACCAGCAGCAAAGGCCGACAAGCTCTGCAGGTCGGGTATTTGCCACGGGCTTGATCCCGGCTCTGAGTGGTGGCCTGCATCTTGCGCTGATGCTCAGATGTGCAACCTCTCTCTGTCTGTCTCTCTCTGCAGATTTGAACCCCGGGGCTTCCCATCCAGTGTGCACTTATATTTCTATGATGACCGTTTCCAGGGTTACCTGGTGATGCAGGAAGTGCAGAATTTGGCAACGGGGCAGGCAGAGTCGCTGGAGGTGTGGATGATGCCCCAAGGAGCTCTGAAGCTGGCGGGTCACGGAGGGCAGGCAAACCGGTTACAAAACCTGGAGGTAAATGGGAAAGTCTCTCACAACACCCACTTTCCTCTCAGGCTGTCCCACACCGCACTGCCCTTCCTTCTCTTCCTCCACTTGCACGCTGTGGAGATGGGGGACATGGTGCCACTGTCGTATCTGAGAACAAACCTTTGTCCGGGGGTTTGGTTTCTGTGTGGGGCGTGGAGCTGATGGCTGGGGAAAAGGCCTGAAGGGGATCATTTAGGGGAAGCCGAGGCTGTGGGGTCCAGTGCCTGCAGCTGCAGGAGGCATCTCAGAGCTGGAGTAGTGCTGGTGTGGTACAGACAGGCAGGAGAGCCATGGGGTGGGGTGTGCATTGCTTTGGGTTCCAAGGTTTATGCCTTCCCTGGTTTGAGGAGGTGAAATGCAAAACCTGAGCTGGTAGCATCTCCCTGCCCATTGTCCCACCGCTTGTACCTCCTGTCCCTCCAGGTGGGCACAGAGTGGGATCCCAAGGAAAGACTTTTCCGCAACTTTGGAGGCTTGATGGGGCCTTTCGACGAGCCAGTGGCCATGCAGAAGTGGTCTCGAGGCCCCAACCTGACGGCCACGGTGGTGTGGATCGACCCCACCTATGTCATCGCTGCTTCCTACGACATCACGGTGGATGCCGAGGCAGAGTTTACCCAGTACAAGCCCCCTCTCAACCGGCCCCTGCGCCCTGGTGTCTGGACCATCCGCCTCCTCCAGTTCTGGGAGCCCCTGGGTGAGAGCCAGTTCCTGGTGGTGCCGCAGACCTTCAACCGCAAGCAGCCTCTCAGGAAAGGTGAGGGTGTGCTGGAGCCTGGGACTCCATGGGAGGGTCTCCCTGTGGTCCCCCTTGTCCTGGCCTCTCTGGTGACAAGGCAGGAGCTGTTCTACCCACTGGTGTCCCCTTTGCCCATGTGGAGTCCTCAGACCAGGCCCGTTTGTGGTCAGTTAGGTCTGTCCTGCAGCAGCACCCCTCTCATTGGGCTGGAGGAGAGCTGGGGTTGAAAAGGGATGGGGTGCTGAGTACTACCGGGAGGTGGCGGAGGGTTTTGCGCTCTCTGTAGAAGAAATATCAACAACTGCTTATATGAGAGGGACTCTTCATCAGGGACTGTAGCGATAGGACAAGGGGCGATGGGTTCAAACTGAAACAGGGGAAGTTCAGGTTGGAGATAAAGAAGAAGTTCTTTACTGTGAGGGTGCTGAGGCGCTGGCACAGGGTGCCCACAGAAGTGGTAAATGCTCCATCCCTGGTAGTGTTCAAGGCCAGGTTGGACAGAGCCTTGGGCAACATGGTCTAAGGCAAGGTGTCCCTGCCCATGGCAGGGGGTTGGAACTGGATGATCTTAAGGTTCTTTCCACCCTGAACCATCCTATGATTCTGTGCCGCTCTGATCCCGCTCTCTTCTCTCCCATTCCTGCCCAGATGACAGCAACTGGCTGCACGGTGGCCCCCCCCGCAACGAGTACATGGAGCAGAGCTTCCAGGGCCTGGGGGGGATCCTCAACCTGCCACGTTCCTAGGCAGCGGAGGGGGACGCGGGGCGGAAGG